TTTATAAACATGTATTGTAGATTTTAAATACATAAATTAATAAATGATCTTTATACTCACTAACTAAATTAACCCAATAAAAAAATTATTTAATTAGTAAATTTTATAACAATAAGCATGAATTGCAGATTTTAAATATATAGATTAATAAACAGTTAAACAAAATTAAAGTTTTAATGTTAATATCCTATTTTTTAAGGATAAAGCAAGTTAGATGGCGCAAAGCTCTTTTTGTCTTATTATTGTTAATAATAAAGGCAAATAAAGTTTTGTTTATTAAATAGCCTTTGTTTTCAATACTAGTACTCGCTAGCCTTAGAAATTCTATTTAGAAGAGTATGTTTTTATAAAACTAAATAATTATAAGCCACAATTCTACTTACCATAGCTATATTACTGTATTATCATACAGAATTTTAAAGATTTAAAAAAGTGTTTTAAAACAATTAATAGCCTTTGTAAATAATTATTATGCTAATAATATTTAAGATTTTTTACATAAGACAAATTGTATAACAGGTTAAATAAATTGCTGTGTTATTATATTCAAAATATAAAAATAAATAGAATTATTATTTTTTTTAAAATTTTAAAAATTTTAAAAATTTTTCTAGTACTAATGTCTCAAACTATTTTAAAAAATTTTGTTAGTCAAGATGAAGATATTAAAGATAGTCAAAACTTTAGTAAAATCAATAAAATTAGTAATGAGAATAGTAATATTAAAAGTAAAAAAAGAAAAAAATATAAATCAGCACAAAGATCAGTTAATAGTTCTGAAGATTCTAATAATAAAAGTTTAAGTGAAGATAGTCAAAATAATGATAATCAAAAAAAAAAAGAATAAAAAAACCAGTTGGTAGACCTGAAGATCCTGTAATTAATCAAGAAACAGAAATACAAAATAGATTAGTAAATATAATTATAGAAAATTATTATAAAATTAATTTATTAGTTTTATATTTTATTTAGTATTTTATTTATTTTTTATTTATTTTATATTTATTTTTATATTTATTTTTATTATTTATATTTATTTTTTATTATTATTATAGGTTTTATATTTGTTATTTTTTTACCTAAAAGTAGAATATATTTTTTACTTTTTTTTGTTTTTTTTAATATATTTCATAAGGAGTTTTTAACTTGTTGCAAGTTTTCTTCTTATAACAGTTATAGGACATTTCCTCTTACAGGGGTTCAAAATGTTTATACTAATAAAGTAAATATGTTAATTACTCAATTTTTATATTAAAATCTTGTAATTTTTAATATTACTCATAAGTAACTTTATATTTGTACAACCTATTTACTAATATCATCTAAATCAAAAATGTTTTCAGAACTTTTATTTATTATACCAAAAAATATGAATTCTAAATATTTTGTAATTCAAAAAAGATCTTTATTCAAAGTTAAAGTATTCTAACTCCTGCAATAAGATATGTATTTATGTATTTCATATTCTTATTTTATTTGTTTGCTTGTGAATAGTAAAATAAAACTTAATAATAAACTGATTTTACTTCTATAGATTGGAATTAGATATATATATAGTTCTTATTTTGTTTGTTTACTCATAATCATTAAAAAACTTACTAGTAAACTAATTTACTTCTGTAAATTGCAATTAACAGTTGAGTACATATTTGATCTTATTTTATTTGTTTATTTATGATCAGTAATTTCACTTCTATAGATTGAATTAACTTAAATATGAGGTCTTTGTCTTGAAAATAACCTTATGGGATATAGTAATTACTATATTCTGTAAGGTTATTTTTAAGGCAAAGAATCTATATTTTGACATCTTTTCTTAAAACAATTACTAATATATTCTAGATTAAATAAGTCTTTTTACATTTAGACATTTACATATTTCTTAGATATAAACTAAATTTAAGACTTTTGAAGATTAATCATTCTGTTTATTCAAAATTACAATCTGATATTTATGCACATGAATTAGATTTTTCTAGATACATTTATAATACTTTATATTTATATTAGTAGTTATAATCTCTAGTTTTTTGGAATATAAGTTAAAACAAACAAATTTGAAGCTTTACTCATGATTAGAATTCTATAATACTTCCAAGATATTCTTGCTTAATTGATTCCAATTTAGAGTTCAGTATTTAGAAATTAAGTTCAATTTTTGATATAAAAATTTTGAAATCCTCAGACTTTATTAACTAATTTTATTATTTGAACATTAGATACCAAGTATTTATTTGCTTATTAACTGAATCAAGTTATATATAATAGTACTATTCTTAATGATTCTCTCTATAGTTTATAGAATAATCTAGTAGATTAGAAAAATAAATCATATAATTATTGAAGTCAAAGTATTTTTATTTCTTAAGAGTTACATTGAATGACTACTATTTAAAATCTGCATTTCATATAATGAATTGTTAGATTCTTTTAATTAATCATAATAATTAAACAACTCAATCTATAATAACAAAATCACTTTGAAAGAGCTACAGTGATCAAAATTTGTAAAATAAGTTTATAAAAAAAAACAAAATTAAATATTAATTTTGAATTGTAAATTTATTAATATTATAATAAATAAATCTTAAAACTTTTTGGCTTTATATTTTATTTTTATTTTTATTTTATTTTTTGCTTGCAAAAATACATCATTCTTCTAAAAATAAATACATGCAGTCTTTACAAGTATATATTATTAATTAATCTATTAATACTAAGCATAACATTTTCACAAATTTATTCAATTTATAAAATATGTAATGTTTTTGATCTAAATAACTATTATTATTGACCTATTTGAAAAAAGATATAAAATAAAAATTAAAGTATAAAAAAAAAAAATAAATCAAATAAAAAAATAAAAAATAAAAAATAAAAATAAAATAAAATAAAATAATTATTTAGTATATTAATATATAGAGCAGTGGAAATAATATAATTATGTTATTTCTACTTAATCTAGATTATGTCTGATGATGGGATCATATACCTGTCATCATTCGAGTGACGAACAATTCGTGCTTGCATTGTCAGAGATATATTAGTATTTACTCTATCATTCAAGTAATGAATAATTCATACTTGTGTCATCATTCGAGTAATAAATGATTTGTGCTTATGTCATCAGAGATATATTAGTATTCACTCCATCATTCGAGTGATGAAAGATTCATACTTGCATCTTATTCAAGTAACGACGATTTTATGTTCACATCGTTACCTTTACATGCGACATATTGTTTGCTAAAATTTTGTTACAAGTTGCTACTAGATATCACTAGTTGTTTGCAGGTACTTGTGACAGAACTTGTGATAGCTGTTTGATACAGAAGAAAAGTTTTGAGCCTTTTCATTTCTTTCTTGATTACTTCTTTATATCTGTTACAAGTTACTTAAGTAAAATGGTGGAATTCTAAAAGAAAAAAAACTCTTTCCTATAGTATACCTTTGATATATACCAGATACATATATATGGTATATACCATTATATATAACACATATAACTGATATATACATATACATTTACCTGATATATATATATACATATACCTATTATATATACATATACATATACCTATACCTGATATATACATACCTTTGATATATACATATAGTATATATATAGAAAAAAAAATAAAAAAAGTGGGATGCAAAAAATTAACCTAAGAAACTTGTAACATTTGTGATAGTTATCGAGAACAATTTTATTCGAACCCAAACTTTCAAAAACCTACCTTTCTATTAATTTTTTTATTTGTGACAAACTTGTAACAACTTGTAACAGTTATCGAGACAATTAGTTCACGAGTTTATCATTATTCGAGTAACTCCTATAGTATACCTTTGATATATAATATATTCGATACCTATGATACATATACTTACTTATAGTACATATATATATATACCTGCTCTTAATATATATATATGATACACCTATAGAAAAAAAGTAAAAAGCTATGGTTAAAAAAATTTTTCTAAGAAACTTGTGACAGTTATTGATAACAGTTTTTTTCAAACTCAGACTTCTAAGAACCTATCTTTCTATCAATTTTTTTATCTAAAACAAACTTGTAGCAACTTGTAACAGTTATCAAGAACAGTTTTTTTTTTTTTTTTTTTTTTTTATAATGCCATAGTAGAAACTTTATTTAAAAAGATAGAACATATGTTCAAGATTTAAAGATTTCTAACTACATTTGTGTTATATTAAATTTAAGGCATCCAATGTGATATTACACCCCCTATTTCCTAATTCATGCTATATTTAATTATTTCAAATTAGTTTTTAGCTAGGATAGGTTAGAGAGAATCTAAGGTGTTAATCATGATATTATAAAGTACAGTTTGTTAGTGAGAACCCTTGTAGAAACCATTTTTCAATTTCAGATTTGTAGTTTGTGATTTGAGTAGGTGTAGTATTAGTATTTGGTCTATTAAGTGTAGTTGGATAAGAGAATTTTATACGTTTAGTTTTTTTAGTAATATTTCGAGCAGT